CTTCATGTCTGCGTTTGCATTCATCCCCCGCTATCTCGAAGTCAATCCGAACATTTGTGCCGCCGTGTATCTCCGTCACCCCGTGGCAAGAAAAGGCATGGCCGAGGTTCCCACGCCATTCAGCTATCTGACGAATCAATTGACGCACAACTGGTACCTGGAGCGTGGCTAACACGGCTGAACATGCCGTGTGCTGCGTTGTGAAACAGACATGGTAGAACGGCACGGTTCTGGCACTGGACCTAGACATGCAGAAGTGGTACTACCGAAGCGAAGCGGAGGAAGGGAGCTTGAGTGGTCGGCACTCGGGAATATTACATAGTTGTACACTAAAATGGTGGCTGGTTCAGGTGCGCTTGTATTTTACGGTATGGGATGCTGTGAGCTATTCTTTGTCTGTGTGCGTGTTGGAAGACAGGTGAATGGACGCGACGGTGTCAACTCCGTGGACAGAGATGGGCCAAGCGTTTTCGACCGATCCTTGTATAATACATCAATCAGAGTAACTGTATTAGATTTACGCTGCCGTACGCTGAGATGGATATCATACCTGGGCCATGGTGTGCTGATTTGTGATAACTTACGAGCGCTGCAGGCCATGTCTCACTCTGCGCTTACGGCGGCATTCTCGCCCTCCACCCACTCTGCGCTTACGGCGGCATTCTCGCCATCAACCATAAAAATTGACAGATGACGCAAACAAGGAGATGAAACCATAATCGACGTGGTACTGAGTATTTTTTTTCCCTCTCCTTGTCGCGAATTGGCATCTTGGGCACCTATTCTGGGTAGAGCTTGGTACGACACCGTAATATCCTCGCTGCCCACCTATATAAATAACTCTTGTTGGTGCTATAAAACCAAGGGCGGCTGCCAATGCATGATTTGCAAATGGTATTCATTTGACATTACTGGTAGTTATCATGTAATCTAGCATCACTCAGTGTCTTAATATGTATGGCTCCATAACAGATTCCCCAGTTTTTTGCGTCTGGGATAATGTTCTGGAAGGAATCGGCATTGAGAACCTGACTCATACCATTCATTAGATTAACAACGTCTGCAAGGATTCTTTTCAAAGGACAGAATACGCACATTCAATGAAGCGGTTTGGTGTCTTCCCATCTGCCACATCTAGAGAACCCGGCCCGGTATCAAGGCGCGATTCTGCTTGGTACTTTGCAAGGACACCTTACTACTAGACACGAACGTAGTCGCTATGTAGTCAAACCAATAAGGTACCGAGACACAGTGTCGAGTCGACTAAGGAGTAGACAAAAACATTGATTGAACTGAACCTCTCAACATTCAGTGGCTGGCATGGCTGTGCAAGCAGGACATGCGTGACCAGCCAATCAACAACACGTCAAGCCACCCGATCCTCTGTTGAATCAACGTAAAACCCAATCGACTCGGCTGCAATGTCAATTGCCACCCATCTGTGGGGACTATGGCCGATTAACCATTGCGGGTCGCGCCACCAATATGAAAGGACCCTTTGATCACGAAAACAGAATTTGTGGTCTTCATAATATTCGATCTCGGGGGAACTAAAGTTCCCAAGAAGGGGAGCGGACATATAATGCTTCGCGGCAGACGTAGAGACCATCAGACCTTTGCGTTAGAAGTAAAGTGGCTTCGCCACCCAGACACTGCGTAATTGTACAGCCTTGGAATTGCGTTCAAAGTGAAAGAGCGATCGACGATGATGCTGTGGTTTGGAGAGGTGAACGAGCGAGGGGGAGACAAGGCCGCTGGTATTGTTACGCCACAAGGCTTCATGGAGGGCATTGTACAGTAATGGCTTTCCGGAACGTCGCCTATTGGAGAGAGAGACACGCTTTTCTACTGCAATTGTTGCAGAAACGATGCTGTGTCCTGACCAAGTATTCCTGTTGGCTCTGTTTTACCCCGTGCTGTAGACGCGGTAGCATCGTGTGCTCTGGTATCTTGGCCTGGAAGCCGACATAGCCGTACGAGGGACGGCAAAGAAGGACGGTGTTGGGAACAGGCCAGGACGCATACAAGTTATTGCGGCTCATCGTTCCCCGTGTCTCGCGGAGCACAGCTCAGGCATGCTGCCCATGGAAGTCCTGGCCTGGAGGCGACGGCCAGCCGGTTTCAAGGACAAATACCCCAATCTTAACAGCTGTTAGCAAACCTAGGACTCATCTACCGCACCGTACAATTGTCGACAGAGGTTGTACATTGGTCTTTACATGAGACACCACCAAGTCAGCGACGACACCAGGAAATAATTACCTAGCATATGAGATTGCCTTGCCTCCCGGATTGGAGCCGAAACATGGTCCTGAACAACACAATGCCACTCAACAGCCTCCGGCATGTGACGCACCGCGGTGATGTTTCTTCCTCCTGAACCAAGATGCCACTAAATGATGGCAGCCAGATGGCAAGCCAGCAGAGTGGCCCGGCCGCTTCCTGTTAGCCAGACAACTTGGTAACATAAACATACTGCCGAAAAGCCACTCTGTAGGTGCCGCCACCACCGTAATGAGGGTGTCAGCGTGCTGGCTCGCAAACCAGTTGCGACTCACCTGACAACGTTGGGAGCACATCCGAGCGATGCACCGACTCCCAATCCTAAAACCAGCCTTATTAGTGTCCGCCGACAAGCTACACCTAGAGTGCTACCTACCTAAAGCGGGAGAAGACTCGAGACTTACAAGCCCGTGGAGGGTCGTGATTACACAACACATTGCAATCGAAAGCCTGGCGGTGGCTGGTCGCGGTGTAAGGGGTTTGGTTGTAAGAAACTATTACCCGCCCCTTCCTGCTGGCATGCGTGTAATCAAGCCCATATACAAGCAGCTGGGGCCGATATCATGAATTTAGCACTGAGATCGATCCAGCAAAATAAACGTGTAGCAGGGGATGATGCAAGGGTTTTGCGGGAGTGTGCATCTTCTGGCGGACGGTTGCTGCGACCTGCGGGCTGAGTCGCTTCGCTTCATGATGGCGGCGGCACTGTTTGGCATCAGCTATGCCAGGGTTGTGTCAATTCGTTGGAAGCCGTTATACTTGTCGGTTTGTCTGAGGATAGTAGCAGTAATGAAGAAACACACCAGTGACACCACAGGCACCTTGCCCATAACTATTCGGACTTACTGAATGCCGTCATGGCCAACATAATGAATTCCCCACTACCAAATGGCAATAGCAGAATCATAACACGTCTTTGAACCAGTATACAAATGATATCAGCTATTCTCAGACAGGGTAGTCCCGTCACGGTCGTGGGATGAGGTTCTGTTGTCGGTCTCTCCCAGTGGCGAGACACAGCATTCTTGTTACTCGCCGTTGGGCCATCATCATCGACGCCGTCGCAGGCGGCCACACTTGAAGGCTCCTGTCGTCTGTTGGAAGCCAGGACTCGAGTGACTGCGCGGTGCTGGAAGTCTCGTCTCCACTCTGGAGCCATAGTGCGAGCTTGTGAAGAGATACGGAGTTGCATTCGAGGCTGGCGTGCGCGAGCCCGGACCGCAGCGATGAGCAGAAATGCCGTGACTGGGAGCAGTTCGCATCAGTAAAGTAGCATTTGAGGTGTTGGCGATTGACACTTGAACACGGCCATGTTGGACTGGTCAAATAGTCAACTGGTAACTTGATGTCCGGGTCGCCTGCAATGTTGGATACTCAAGTACTCTTGCTACTCGTACACATAATGCCTGCCTTGTACTCCGTACTAGTATTTATTAATTGCTTGCACATGTGACCGTTCTTGCCTTCGTCGCGTCACAGGGTCTTCCTGGCGATGCCAGTAGCATCGACGGGTCCCAGGTACCCAGGTACCTAACTCTTAGTAATAGGGCGTTTGTTTGCCCGGCTCCCCAGCTGTACCCGCTACCTCCCTAGCGCATGCAACTACGAGCCGATGTGTAATGTGCAATGCGCCCTGCTCAATGCAAAATGGTCCCGAGGGCCCCTTCCATCTTAGTTGAATTGCTACTTCACCACCTGTACAATACTTAAACACGGGGAGTCCGGTTACCTCGTACTTGGACTGTTTGGGACTGTTTGAACCATAACAGCCGAATTTCCAAGCGTCTGCATCCCCATTTGGCTTTGCTGATCTATCGTTGTCTTCGGTTTACTCTCGAGCCCTTATCCCCTCCATCACGAACAAGTCTTGTATCTTTTATCTCCCTCGACACTATTTCTCCCTCTTCATTGAATCCTCCCCCCCTCACTTCGCCACTCGATTGTTAACACATACACACCAAGTGCACACCAGACATGTTTCGTGCTCGATAGCCTCACCAGTGTTATCCGCCTTCGCTCCCTCTCTTCTCGGCAGTCTGAAGTCGGCACTTGCTCTATGTCATCTTATGGGCTGGCGTCGGGCCACAGACGAGGCGGCCGCTCTGCCACAAGTCAGGCTTGAGCCCTCTAGAGCCGATACTCCGTACACACTTCCCCAGCTCGTCGGCGACTAGGGGCGTACGCCACGGTCTTACCGGTCCCTTGCTGTCTCTCTCAATCCAGCACTATGCGCACGCAATAGCGGCAAGCGTGTTGGCCCGTTTCTTCACACCATTTGACCTTTGACGCGGAATCCAGACCCTCCACCCTATCAGCGCCTCGAAGTCTGTCTCGACCTCGTCGACTCTTTCTCTACAATCCCTTCTTACTTAACGCAATCCACCCGCATCCCACCGTATCCCCATCACAAGCAACCTACCTTTTTTTTTTTCTTGGCGAGATAATTCGATATAGCTCGGCCAAAAAAAAGGCACATCATTGTTTGCTGCCGACAAGATCTGATGCAAGCTCTCTGGTCTTACCCACACCCGTTCTGCGACCCTGTGTGGACCACTAGTCGACATCTTGTGCCTCTTTCAATCTTTTCCGTCTCACCGTCAGCTCTCGCTCTCTCACACATCACCACTGTGGAGGTGCCGCTCACGGCCCACGACTTTTTGACAACTGCTGCACTAGGCCGGACTCTGTGTGTCGGGCTGGAGTGAAATTGACCTAGCATGACCGGTAACACACCCCGAACAAGTGTCCACTCTGGACAACAAAATGATCTTAATTCGCCCTCGGATGGATCGGCCCATGCAGCAATAGCAATGAACAGTAACACTAATGCTACCTCTGTCGCTGCCGCCAAGAGGAGGTCACGCAGACGAGCCGCCTCGTCAAGTCAGAAACGACGATGCATTAGCACAGCATGCGTTGCTTGCCGCAAACGCAAATCAAAGTGTGACGGTGCCTTACCCAGCTGCGCCGCTTGCGCGAGCGTGTATGGCACCGAATGCATTTATGACCCGAACTCGGACCACCGCCGCAAGGGCGTCTATCGCGAGAAGGTAGACGCAATGAAGGCACGCAGTGCCACTTTGCAGGTTCTTGTTGAAGCTATTCTCAATGCCTCGGAAGACGACGTTGCCTCAGTCGTCGACAGAATTCGCTCTTGCGATGACCTAGATTCTCTGGCCCAGACAATTGTCAACCAAGATTCGGATAGCGGAGCGAACGGACCTGACGAAGTGGACGAGGATAGTGTCGATTTGTCAGCTGTCAAGGGTGAGGAGGAACTGGCCCGCAAAATGGGTGAGCTTCGATTTGAGAACGGGTCCGTACGCTTCATTGGTGGCACTTCTCACCTTCTTCACCTGGGAGAGTCTCAAAATGATGCTGTTGAATCAGATCTCGAACCCGGGCAACAACTCACTAGTGACGACCCCATTACTTCATGGACGCGAGTCACCAGTGACTCTAACCTCATCGCGCACTTGATGAGAATGTACTTCAATTATCACTACTCATATTTCACCACTCTATCTAAGAAGCTCTTCATCAGGGACTTCACAACAGGTCAGGCAAATGTGGCTTCCCGGAATTGTACGGCATACTGCTCGCCTCTCTTGGTCAACGCTATGCTTGCGCTTGGTTGTCACTTCACTGATGTTGCCGGGGCGTTTGTGATACCGGGCGACGCTAGAACTAAGGGTGACCATTTCTTTGCTGAAGCCAAGCGTCTTATCTTGGAAAATGACGAATTTGCCAGACCTCGCCTCGTCACAGTTCAGGCATTAGCACTCATGTCTGTGAGAGAGGCTGGCTGTGGCAGGGAGGCCAAGGGATGGGTCTACAGTGGAATGAGCTTCCGTATGGCTCAAGATATTGGCCTAAATCTCGAAGTCACGGGCTCTGACAGAGAGCACATGTCTGAAGAAGAAATTGATGCCAGAAAGATCACATATTGGGGTTGCTTTGTTTTTGACAAGTGCTGGTCCAATTACATGGGGAGGCTGCCTCAGCTTGTCAAGACCACATGCAACGTCACAAAGTTCGACATTGACAATGACGAAGACTTGTCCATGTGGTCCCCATTATCGGACAAGGGCCTCGACAAATCGTTTGAACAGCCGTCAAGAACACGGTCAGCGGCGTTGCAACTCACCGGCCTTTGCGAGATTAGCAGCGACCTCATGGTCTTCTTTTACCACCCCAATCACATCAGGCGGTCTCGTGGCAAGTCCGCTGAGCTCAAGAAGCTGAGCGAAATCCATCAACGTCTAGAACATTGGCGCAAGGTGTTGCCCAAGGAATTTGAGCCAGCTGATGGCCAGCTTCCCAATGTCATCCTCATGCAGTAGGTTGCTATCCACCACATTGTCTGGTCTTTTTGCTACTCGTGCCCGCTCCTGCTTCTCCTTCTATCACTGGATCATAAAACAAGTTTCCAAAAGCTAACGAGATGTGCTCTCAGCATGTTCTTCCACCTGCAGTATATTCACTTATTCCGCCCGTTCCTCAAGTATACCCCGTCAGCATCGCCCCTCCCAGCTCATGTTTCTCCACGAAGAATATGTACGGCGAATGCCGGGGCAATTTCGAAGCTGATGAGACTGTACAAGAAGATGTACGGCCTGCGGCAGATTTGCAACATTGCGGTATACATGGTTCATAGTGCGTGCATCATTCACCTGCTGAACCTCCCAGAGAAGACCGCCAGGCGAGATATCATACACGGCGTCAAGCAGCTGGAAGAGATAGCTGATGACTGGCTGTGCGCACGTCGCACTTTGACTATTCTAAGCGTTCTTGCGAGGAAATGGGAGTGCGAATTACCAGAGGATGCTGCATTTGTCCTTAAGAGGGCCGATGAGAAGTATGGATACTACAGCACATCGGACGTGCCTTCTCCGGCATCGAGCCACGGCACATTAGGCGTGATGTCGGATGATGCAATGTCAAAGTCATCAGAAGAGCAAAGCCCGTTAGGACAGTTCAGTCAGGCACAAATAACTCCCGGTGTCGGCTCCGGGTATATCGGTGACGGCATGTCCATGCTGCAGCCACCTCAAATAGTGGAAGGAGTACCAGATCGACCGTCTCATCGGGAGCAAACTGCGCAACCAGAGGGCATGTCTCTTGGTTACAGAAGTAATGTGATGGAGCGGTGGCTCGGAGATGGAAATCCTACTACTGAATCGCCATCGGTTTTTGGGTCACCATTTTTTCCAATTGACCATCAGGTACCAGAACCCCAAAACAGTCACCATGTAGGACCTCGGCGCATGGCTGGATTAGCTGGCAATGAACCTCCTAACGGTCAGGACTGGATGCTCAATGATGGAGCCAGATGGCAGCAGAGCTTTGAAAGTTGGGGGGTTGATGTCGGCATTCCACCAAACGGAATTTTCATGTTCAACCAGGACCGAAACAACGGATTCAATCAACCTGCTGCAGGATACCACGACGAGCAGGTACAACTGACGTTCGAAAATCTCAACGCATCATTAAATGGAAGTAGCTGGCTCCCTGGTTTGGACTGAACGCTACGTAGAAATTCTAACTGAAGACAACTAGTGATCATGAGATGAGTCGAAGAACGATTCTCGCGACTTTCCGGCCGCCATAATTGGTCGTCCTTTTTAGTACATATCGTTGGGGAAAAATTTTTTTTATTGCGAATTATTTTGTACCTCTTGCTGTCTAAAGCTTAGGTTCCTATTTGTTTCATGCATTGCATTTACGGTGTTTTTCGGGTACCTTGTTTCTCTCACCTCACCCTCTTCACCCTTCTCCCTCCCCCTTTCAGTTTCGAGTATACGCATTTTTCAGGATACATTGTCACGATTTTAGAAATATCTGTTCAAGGTACTCTTTGGTGGGTCGGCTTGGAACGTGCAAAACGGCGTTTAAATGGCGGGCAAAGTGCTAGCTGGCAACTGATCTTCTATCGTCTAACAATGATCTCAGGATGACAGTTCTGTGAGCATGGGTGTGGAAAGCTTTGTTCTTTGAATGCAGCAAGAGAAGGCGTAATGGCCAAGCAAGCACCCATTACTGGAGGCGAAATGATTTGACGAATCATGGCTTTATGACTATTTGGACGGCAACATAAAAGACAGGATGGGATGAAGTCTTGAGTTTCCATGATTTTCCTTGCATAGCAGTACCCACCTCGAGCGGCTTCCTCTTTGTTGTTAATGATCATCAAGATCTCGCAAGGATGAAAGGGTATTGTAGTTACCAAATGTAAAGGAAGTAGACCAAATTGTATTTAAACATGCGCAATCACGGAAGATGGACAATCAACAATATCCCTTGTTCCCAAACGCCAACAGACCTCGGGTGTTGAAAGATCCACGTGATACAACCTTGTAGAAATATTTACCTGCTTTGCACTTGCCGCACGAAGGGACACTTTCATCTTGATCCAAGCAAAACAGGGGTTCTCAAGCCTCGATGGACTAATCCCCGTTAGCGAATGAAGTCTACTGCATCTTTCGAAGGCTTCGATCAAGAGTCTCTCAGCTCTCTCTCTCTGCCCGGAAGACTCTAGGGTCAGCATATTTGTTGTTACCATTAAAAGAAGTATTCTGCCACGGGCTACTGCGACATGATGAACCAACTGGCTCTGCCTATCCCGCCTCGCATTTTCAAGCGTTGGATTATCGCCGAGAGAAAATAGTCTGTATAATATACTACTTTAGGCAAGTACGCGCTTTCAATATAATCATCAAATGAAATAACATCTTTATAGTGTGTATATCGCGAGTCAGATTCTGAACAAGCAGCTGCCACAGCACCCCCATAAGTCCAAGGACAGCAAGGCATAATTCTGAAAGAAGGCTAAACGCAAATATAGCCCCATTGGTGTTCATCCTGATATTAATCAGGTTGTCCCTGACAAGGCAAGGCGGTCACGTATAGATATTTGATATTTGCTTTAGCACCAAGGGTGGCGATGCCGCCGCGAAAGCTTTCTTAAAGGCTGCCCTGGCTCGATTTGGGCTAGGAGGTCACCGTGATCTGCAGGTAATTTGGGCAAGTAATTACAATCTCTCAAGGGTGCAGCGTAAGCCTGCCATCTTAACCGGCACTTTGCGTCGCAGTGGGGCAAATTGATAGGAGCCTGACTATCTTCATTTTTTATTCAGTGTGGCATCTGCTACTACCTTTGACGGGGTTTCTTCCACGCAATCCATTCGGACGTGGGCGAGGCCTTGAATCAACGTGTTGTCAAGAGCGGCTGGAGTGCTTGAAGCACAAACGCTGTAAGAAAAGAGTATGGTGACTACCCCGTAGGTCGTAAGTAGCACACTTGATCGGAAAGCTTCTTGGCGGAGTACTCGCGGCGAGTAGGAGTGATGTCGTCTTCACGGTGAGCAATAACTGTTCAAAGCTCTATTTCCTCGTCCTTGAGACTCTGCCAGGGTGATTTGCAAACAGTTTCTTTCGTTGCGATTGCTTTCGTGTTTATGGCTGCTAATGCAATGGGCAGGGGGCGGCTCAATTTGCCGCCACCTGCTTTGTCCAGAAACGACTTCACCTGTTTCGTAACCTAGCAATCTCCTGTGGTCGGAAATGCATCCTTATCTACTTCCTTATGAATGGATACCCCCAAAGTGAGGTGCGGCGCCGTGTCATACCTCTTTCGGGCAATATGGGTGTCTATAGCGTTCAGCGATTCCATTCCTAACACCTCGCTTATGAGTTGGCAGCTCCGGTCATCGATCGATATTGTCGAACATTGGTGTGTGAGACACGAGCAGCAGGGTCTCTATATCAGCTAGAAGTGGGCTACCAGTTTGGATTCCTGTATGGGAATCCGTGACTGAGCGGCTAGTCCACGTGGCAAGGGCTGGTCGCGGGTCAAAGATATGTATTCTGGACGATTTACCTTGTAGCCAAGGCTGAAACCGAGACACTCTGGGGGAGCACAAACGTCGCATTGTGTGTTACAGACAATGGCATCCCGTTCAGTTATGGAATAATTCGATTTGATAGCACACTGAGAATGTTGAATGTTTCAAGAGCTTTGCACAAGACTTGGGAGCGAGTTTGTGGCAGCGCCATGCCAGAGGTGATGGAGATATGGACCGAAAGTGCGAAGTGAGGCAAAAGAACGAGTGAGTCGTGAGCATACGAATCTTGCCGAACGCAGATCTCGTGCGTGCAATGGCCTAAAGCATCACCCGCGGTCGGTGTTCATCACTGAAGTCCCAGGGAGAGGATCAGGTTTGATGCAATATGGCCTCGAGACATTTTGTACGCTGACCCTCTTCCTGGGGAGGACGCGACCAGGCCCCGGGGTGGCGGGCTGGGCATGGCTCATAGCAGCAGCCAACGATTTTGGTACAGCTCCCAGGGCCGAGGACTTGACGATGCACAACTGCCGCGTCAGTCGTTGCACGGAGCAGTTAGAGACGCCTGCTCAGATGCAGCGGACCTTGTGTGGTTCGCAGCGAACGGCAAGTGGGGAAAACCATGCCCTCGAGCGATTCCACATGTTTGAGATATTTATATGGCCAGTTTGAGCGAGGTTTTGGGGCGCTTCGTACGCAATCCGTCATGCTTTTTCTTTGTCCTGGTTCGTGGCGGACAGAGCTGGATCAAAGAAAGAAGGTTAGTTCCCAACCACGCTACTACTAAACATTGGCCGGAGCTATTCCATACATGCAAGGGGGAATGTCTTGGACTTACGTCAACCTCGTTCAACATCACTCGTTTCAAACGCGGCCCCGTCGACAACTCCAGTCACGGAGAACCAAAAGTGCCGCAAAACGGTAAACATCACCGACATGGCTTGAATAATGAATAAGGGGGGCAAAATTAGCTTCATTTTGGAAAGACCAGGAGAACGCCACTCAATAATCGCGTGGCATGGGTTAGGGAATGTGGATTTTGCGGTGGCACCCTGATCTGCTGTGTCTTGTCATCAATGCCGCTTTGTTGGTGTCTGCAATGCCCGCACCGTCTCGGCAGAGGCTGTGCAAGTTCAATGTTGCTGACAAGCCCATGAACCACTAGCTATCATATTATACACATCATATTCTCAGTCAATCTGTGGTGGCTGCGTTGGCCCTTTGTGCCCTGCCTTGCCATTTAAAGCTCCCTGCACTCCTTCCTGCCTCCTGCCTCCGGCCTTGTCCTGTCACTTCAGTCCTGCTCCTTCCCTGACATGGTGCGGCATCACCTTCGGGGTGACGGAGGAAGGAGCCTCTTCTGGAGAACGCACCTTGCCAACAACAAGCTCATCTAACAGTAATAGCACGGCGTCAGTATTCGTCTTTCACAGAACCGCTCCATCTAGTATACAATTGCTCAACGCGGGCCAAGATGGAGCGACGGGAAGGGAGCCTGCCCCTGGACCCCATTGTCCCTCCTTGCCAGTCTTCAGATCTTCTGGGGTACCAAGATATCCTGGCGCCCGAAGACCTCGGCTCGGGGCATGTCCAAGGCTCCCATCCTCGTCGTGGCATTTCATGTTCGTCGCATGTGTCCCCTCATCCATCTCTTGTCGAGATCACCCATCATTGTCTCCAACCCTGGCTTGCCAGGCCCCGGCAGCCAGGCTAACATTGTACATACTCATTCAGTCCTGCTATCAATCGCCAGTCTCCTTTTTTTCTTGTCAGGATCTACGGTCCATCGCTCTTGCGCTTCTTGTGCCGGTGCGGCAATCACCGTGGGTTTGCTCTAATAAACCTCATTTCGAGAACGCTGGAGAAGCATATTGCCACAGCGAAGCGCCACAGCTGGTAGAGAATTCTGTGAATGAATGAAGAAACTTCTCAGCGAGCTCCGCTGAAGAAGCTAGGGGACCGCTATTTCGGCCTCTGCTCACTTCCAACGTTTCGCCCGTTACGGACCACCCGCACCACCGAACAACGCATTCTCCGTGGCGTTACCACCGAACCAGGGGCTTGCTGGCCTGACGTCGCTGCACCCCGGTTTTCCCTGCCATACAGCTGAGACCTGGTGTCTGCAATGCCGGTAAAGGGTCAAGATGGTCAACCACAACGGGGCTGATGGAGGTAGGGTGGGTGGGGGAGCCGCGCATGGCCATTCTTGATAACGGCCTCTAGGCCGGGGTCGAGGTCGCCCAAAAGATGCACAGCGCCGGTATAAGGCCGACCAAGAACTAAGAGGCGAGCCTCCCACCAGTCCTCCATGTGCTGCTCCCCTCCGCCAGGCGTTTTTGGCCGTGACACCGCCGAGCTGGATATCATTCTTCAAACATTCCATCGTCTGACGATCACCAGGTGCCAGACCCCATGCATGCGCAGACCGGTTTTAGTGCGCTGACACGACAGGGCATGTTCCAAGAGTGTGGGGTGGGGGAGTTGAAGACGTCGAGTTTGAAATGTTGGGATTCCGGGCGTCTTCGGGCATGTCCCCGCGGGCTTGTCCAGCCATCATCAACATCAGACGCGGTTAATCCAAGGCGGACATCCGATGCGTGGGTCGTTCGAACCTCCAAATGCTAGTAAACCCCACCAGTCATTGTCTTGTGGCGTTGAACTTAGTCGACAAGGGCAACACGCAACCAAGGCCTCATACGCACCACTAACATGGACACTACGAACACAGTCGCGCCCAGTGGATTTAGTTGCCGCCGCCGTTACTTATATGTGGTTTGCAGACGCGGCCAACCTCTTCAGTGCCAGACGCCTCCACATCGGCCGGAGTACGTAGCTGGGGGTTTAGGGAACTTGTATGGAGGCGGAGGAGAATGTAGATTATGCAGTTGAGGTTGAGCTCAACCCCCGTTCTCCTGGGCCCCCAGTCGGGCTTTGTTGTTCCCCATAGGCAGAAAGGTGCGGGAGAATATCTCATTGACGAAAGTCCCAGGGCTTCTCCTCCTTTGATCATGTAAACCTGACGAGTCATCACTCGATTGGAGGTCCTTTCTTGCAAACCATCTTCATCCCACGAGAGAGGAGTTGTCGTTTACTTTGTGGATCAACTTGATCGGACCCCTCCGCCGGTTTACACTTGGCATCTCTTGGCCAACAAGGAGCCATTTCCTGGCACCGTTTTTCTGATTTATTGTTGGAATCGGCAAGGGTCCCATTGAAGCTCTACTGCAGACCCAAAGCTTCTTTGTACTCCTTAGTCGACGTGGAACAGCATCCAAAACGACCTGAAAGACACTGAAGAGTCATCACGTTTTGAGAACAATAGCCTGAGCACCTAAACAACCCGCCATATGCTCAGGCCATCAACCACCTCATGAATACGCGGAACCACCAAAGCAAGTAATGACCCTTGGCTCGTCTCCAGACGACGAAACCTGCTGGCATCCATAATTATATCTTCCGCTAAACTTTCCTCTTTCCCATCTGCGCTGTCAGAAAGATCCCAAGGATTCACAAGACGAATAAGATTATCTAACGACAAAGGACGAACCAGACATGTTGTCCAATCCACTACACCGGTACCCTCCTTATACCAACACATCCGCCTCAACTATCCACAGCCCTTATGGGCAAAACGATCAGTTTGGCTCCTTTAGCCACGGATCACACTACGGTGTAAATCAGCTTGAACATCATGTAGGCCCTTCCAACTCGAGAGGGACTGGACACATCAGCCCACAAGGCCATCACACCCACCGAGCGAAACCATCGGGGTCGACAGGAAAGGTTTCAGGAGCTTCAGGACCTGTTCGAAGGAGAATCAGCCGAGCTTGTGATCAGTGTAATCAACTACGAACAAAATGCGATGGAAAACATCCTTGTGCGCACTGTATTGGTAGGTCTTGTCTACTTCAGCGTCAGCCGTATGCTTTGATTTTCGTTCTATCATTAACTCTTGCTCTGGGCGCAGAATTTGGTCTTGGATGCGAATATATGCGGGAGAAAAAGAAGCGTGGTAAAGCGTCAAGAAAAGACTTAGCCGAGAGAGCAGCGGCACAAGCCGCTGCCGGCTCTGCGAATCAAAATGGTGATGTGTCCGACGGGAAGGAATCCAGCAACTCTCCTGCCACGGATGAGAAAGCTGATGGCTTTGTGGAAAACACCAGAAGCAACTCCATGTCAAGCAGCGGTCTAGCTACAGTCCATGACAATCACCTTGGGGGGGATATTGGCATCGGTCCAGAATTTCGTCATGAACAATCAGCACCCACCCCGGGGCAGTTTAGCGAGTTCTCTGGCCAGTCTCACATGCTGCCACCGATTCAAATTGATCAGGAAACTATTAATGATAGCCGTTCAATGAGCATCAGCAGTTTTGGAGGGCTTTCGACTAGCTACGACCGGCAAAGTCTTAGCAGCGATGACCTTATGGGCGGCGGCCAGGTATACGGCCATCCGCACCAGAACAATATGCAGGGGTATTCAGATCTGTCATTCGGAGTTTTGGGACAAGTTTCGACGAATTTTGGCAACTCTTCCGGTTTTCGGCTCAGCAACAGTCCGCTTGGGGCCTATACGGATCTAACTTCAACTACATCCTCAGGATGGGGTATGCCAATGTCTTCACCAACAGGTCAATTTCAAACGCAGATGCAACCCGACTTTAGACAGTCCGGGTTGCGGTTTCCAGTTTTAGAGCCGTTAATTCCTCATATAACCAACATTATTCCGGTACACCTGGCGTGCGACTTGATCGATCTCTATTTCACGTCGTCTTCGGCCAGCATGCATCCAATGTCGCCTTATATTATTGGATCTGTTTTTCGAAAACGAGCCTTCTTGCACCCTTCAAGACCACGAAAATGTCGGCCAGCGTTATTGGCCAGTATGCTGTGGCTTGTCGCCCAAACAAGCGAGGCTCCTTTACTTACTAGTGTACCTTCAGCCCGGGGACAAATTTGCCAGAAATTGTTAGACTTGACCGTCGGATTATTAAAGCCATTGATTCATAGCTCGTCTATTTATGCCGATTCAAATGCGGGCCAAACCGCTGCAGCCGTTTCTCTCGGTGGCCTTGGCGTGGCGTCACCAGGTTCAATAGGCGTAAACGCTGAACTTAACGGTGATTCTGGCTCCTTTGGATCTTCCGGCCACATAGACGATGTTGTGACTTATATCCACCTGGCGACAGTGGTGTCTGCTAGTGAATATAAAGGAGCCAGTCTGCGCTGGTGGAACGTGGCCTGGTCCATGGCCCGAGAGTTGAAGCTAGGCCGTGAGTTGCCACCGAGCGAACCGCGACCCAGCTTCGAACAAAGCAAAATGGAAACGAATGGGCTGAATGAGCACGATATCCTCCGAAATAGCCCCGACTTGATTACGGAAGAAGAGAGGGAGGAGAGACGACGCATTTGGTGGCTCGTGTATACCGTGGACCGGCACCTGGCTCTTTGTTATAACCGGCCTTTGTTCTTGCTGGACGTAGAATGTGAGGGTCTTCGACAACCACTGGACGATGCAGCCTGGCAGACTGGAGACTTCAAGAACTATCCGGCCGACTCCAACATGCTAGGGATCCTCCCTGAGAACGTAGAAACTCTTCGTGGGCCGCAGTTTCGGTGCAGGGGATATAGCATTTTTGGCTACTTTCTTCCGTTGATGACTATTCTCGGAGAGATTGTTGACTTGCACCATGCACGAAATCACCCACGATTCGGTCCCGCGTTTAGAGCCTCACGCGAATGGATCAACCAGGTTTCCGAAGTGAAACGGCACCTCGGAGCCTACGAAGAGAGTCTCAACATATTCAAGCAGAGGGCTCTCGAATTAAACAGCAGCCCGTCTGCCCAGTCGGTGCATACCACAGCTTCGAGCCACGTGAATAAAGCAGAAGTCCAGACAAGAACCGTACTTGCATATGCCACGCACGTTATGCATGTTTTGCATATTCTACTGGAAGGGAAATGGGATCCCATCAATCTCTTGGACGATGACGACCTGTGGATTTCATCCCCAGACTTTGTGACTGCTTCCGCACACGCTGTAGCCGCAGCAGAGGCGATCAACCAGATTCTTGAGTACGACCCAGGACTGGAATTCATGCCATTCTTTTTCGGCGTTTATCTCCTCCAAGGCTCTTATTTGCTGCTGCTTATAGCGGATAAGTTGCAAGTCGAGGCTTCGCCAAACGTAGTGCGGGCCTGCGAGACCATCGTACGGGCACACGAAGCGTGTGTCGTAACGTTGAGCACAGAATACCAGGTAAATGAAACTCTCCAAAACACTTGGAAAAACTCGCCGACTAATTTTTGATGGGGATCAGCGCAAATTCAGTGGAGTGATGCGAGGTGCCCTAGCATTAGTTCGAGGACGCGTCCCTGAAGACCTAGGCGAACAACTACAGCGACGACGAGAACTACTAGGGCTGTACCGCTGGACGGGAGATGGTACCGGCTTGGCACTATAACGATACGATTCTACATGTCTGGCGTTTTGTTGGAAAAGCGAACACAAGCGAGTATTATAATTTTGGGATTTTTGCGTTCAGAGATTTCTGGACGGGTGGTGCTTCAAACAGCGGCTATGAAATGCAAGCATTGTAAACCTAGAGAGTATCTTGGCTAGTTTCGCCCCAAAAAGTCGAAAATCGCAGTCAGCATGATGGACGAACCGTGAAGCTGCAGAAACTCGTGCGCTTCTCTCGGGGGGGTTGAGACTTGCGAATTCGAAAACACCATAATTGTATCGGAACGGAAGATGTCTATCATAGGTTAAAAAATAATGGGCGCCATTGTCAGGGTGGTTAAAAACCTAGGTTCTGAAGTCCCGTGGCAGATGCTCCCAGGCGAGTGTAAACGGAGGATGGGCAGCTCCCGTTGGATCCAACGTTCATCTAACAAATCGCAGGGATCCAAGACTCCCCTGTCGGCCTTTTTCTTCCGGAATAGGAATAAAATATCCTTGTCGCTTCTCCAGGTTTCGAAATTGAGGACGCAGTGGCAAGTCCAGCCTTGCTCACCACCTCGCGCCCAGCACTCTTACCCGCCTTAAGAGACGTTTGGGCAGCAAGTCGAAGAATGAATACAATAAAACTCCACCAAAGCGATTTGTCATGCTTATTAATGATTGTCCTAGCTTCAGAATCTGGTCAGACTGAGCGTGGCGTGTGGGATCTGAAATCGAAGCTTTTGGGGGAGGGGCGGGCTGTCTGGTCAAGAGATGCGGAGGCCGTTCTTTTGTTCTCGATGAAGAATTTTCACCGGGCTACGACTTCATTCTTCATACATGATCGTTTTACAGAAGCCTTGGCCAATGTCAAATGTGATTCAGCACTGTCTCTGACGAAGATATCCGGGTGTCTGCCTTGCAACCATCGCACATGACGATGGGTTATCAAGACTATTCCCAATGTTTGCTCGTAAAAGAGCACAACATCAGTGTTCTTGTAGCGTCACCTGCTCTTGAAAGCGACTTGAGCTCCCGCCCATCATTCACTCCAACATGTAACGTGTTCGCAAGCGAATGGTCCGTTCCCCGTTTCCCTCCGCGTCAACTCCCTCCCCAACGAGCCCATGCCGCAAAGTTCCTAGACACAGAAGACAATAACAACTCACCAAGTAGCCAAAGCAGGCCGCCAGCCTCCCCAATGCCCATAACATGGGATTGGTCTGATCTCTCAACTGGGGGAGCCGCCTAAAGCCACACACACCCCTTCAGCACGGCTCTTCGGCATCCACACCTTTCTTCTCCTTCTTCTCCAAGGGCGTCTATCTATGATTTTGTCTTCCCGACACGCCACCCTCGAGCAAAAGCATTGATTCTCTGAAAGGTATTCGGACTACGTCTACGCATTTCTTCTTAGTCACTTGTGCTGCTGAAACATATAACATCTCTCCTCTTCCGTTGCTGTTCGTGCATTTGCTGAATCACCTCTGGCTTTGTGAACACGTCGACAAACGGCCCTCCTCAAAGTTCAAAGTGGAAACTGATAATACAAGGAGTCATACTCACTCTGTCTCTAAGACCACAAAAACAGAAAAAAAAGGTATGAATCTGGTTTTCTTGCTGGGGCAAAGGGGTCGGGACCCGGGGTTGGGCGAGCCATGTTGGTTTCTTTTGAGCCACAGCCATCACATCTCGTCTGCTGGCCTCAATTTCGGCGAGAGGGTAGATGCCAAGTTTGCTACTTGATATGCCTTCACCGTCGGAAAGCAGTGTGCTACATTGCTTGGTGGTGTTGTGGGAGATGCTCACGAGGTCTGCTCTTTGGGGTTGCACCATTTGCTTGAGGCATGTTGCGAGAAACGTATTTAATGGCGTCAACTAACCACTTCCTGACACAGATAACTATTTACTCATCTCTTTTATCTTGAAGCAACACATGAAATCACCTCGGCTTCTTTGCTTTACTCAACAAACCCTTGAAACCTTCTATCGTGCCCAGACCTGGAAGCAGTCATCATGACCACGTATTACCCCATGGTTACTGGCCAGGGAAGCTCTGAGCCTCAGAGTAATAGTACCAGCGGCCAGATTCAGAACCAGGGATTGATGTTTCCGGATACTGCCCCAGTTGCGTCGAGTGCCATTATGGGCAACGGCTTTCTGGGCCACGACATGCATCCAAACAACTTCAACTTCAACTCTGGGCCTGGCAACCAGATGACACCCCATACAGTTGGCTCGGGTTTCCATTCTGATCTTCGTTTTACTGGTGGTTACTTGGAGAACCAACACGTCTCAAATTCACTCCCTTTTGAGACCATCCCGTCGTCTGTGCAGACGCCGGTGGTGACACGCGTATTTCCTCACCGTCTTTCGAGCCCCCGTCCCTGTATGGATGAGCAGTCAGAAGTAAACTTTGAAGGCTACCCGCTTGATCTAGTCGGTCTCACCATTCCCGACAACGGTGATCCCGAAGAGCTGGCGCGCCGGCAGCTAGCAATCGAGCAAAACCAGGAAAGCCACAGGCAGAATCCGCCCGTGATTCCCGACCACACCCTCGGTGAAATGGCTCCCAAGCAAGTCTTTCCGGACTTCATTAAGCCCAGCCAGAACACCTCGCCCGAGGAAAAGCTCCTCATGGAGCGCGAAAACAATAGACTCGCCGCGCAGCTGCAGAAAGAAGATCGAGCCCGCAACAACGAGGCAGCCAAGCGCAGCCGCCTTGCCAAGTCCGAGGCCCTATCCAATGCCACCAAGCTCAACGTCACCCAGTTCATCCGGATTGCGTGGTTGGAAGCCAAGGTGATTGGCCTTGGTGGCAATCCCGCCGACTTCGACTGCATCCGTCCGGATATGCTCCTCAAGATCCGCAGCGATGTGCTTGCGCGCATGGACGTCGTTTATGCCCAGCGCAAGAAGAACAGGACCGAGCAAGAGTCGCGTAGGAGAGCGCTCCGGAACAAGGACCGCCAGCGGAAGAAAGCGGCGGCCAACGAGCGGTTTGCTCGCCAGCGAGCTGAAGCCGCTCGTGCCGCTGCTGCGTCTACTCCTGCTACACCTGAGACACAGGTCGAGGCAGCTCCTCATAATGGCATGACGAGCTCAATGGATTGGGTGTCGTTCGTTCCGTCTTACGACTTCGGTCAGACCTAGTCGCGAGGATCAGCTATCCCTCGCTCGGCTGGACTTGATAAAGTAGCGACTTGCATTGGGCACACAGATATGTATGGGACAGCGAGTTTCGGGGGGCAAAAAAAAAAAAATTACAAATGGGCAGATGCGGAATCAGACATTAGCGACATTCCCAGAGATGAAAGTTTGGCATTTCACTGGAAATTGCGGCACGAGTCGAGCTCTCTTACTCTTTATCGGGTTCAGAGGCTCTTTGTGCTCGAATAAGGGGCCGGTTAGTTCAGGTTGTTGTTCTCTGCGAATACGGGACATGCCCTTCTTTGAGACGAGCCTTTTAATAAACGAGACTGGCTTTGATACAGGACGTACGTCTATTTTCCCAGTAATCGAAGACGCTCTGCGTGTTCATATTGCGCTCGGGGCGATTGGGTTGTTGGTCTTGGCGCTGATTGTTGTGTCGGATAGAGCGCTCGCGTTGGAGCAGATTGCCAGCAGCTAAGTTAGTATGTTTTTTAGTGAATTTCAGATAACAGTCTTGATGCCTGTATTTTCCAGACATTTGGTTCGAAAGATCCGAGATAGGCCTGGGTTCGGGCCACGCGGGTCCCCATTCTGGCCTTGTTTGCGGTCATGATGCCATAGATGTTTGCTTCGGCCTAGCAATCCCCATAATGTACCTTTGGGCTCTTCTAAAATATTGCTACTGTATCCAAGCTGCCAGTGGTCGACGCAACAGACGCTGGTTGCAAAAGTGCTCCCACGTGAAGTATGTAAGCCAAGATGAGCCAAATGGAAGAGCTGGCGGCGCACAAGGAGGGAAAATGGGTCGAAGTCGAGAGAGATCAAGGCCCTTGACAACTCGGTCTTGCAAAGAACAACATGGATAGAGCGAAGGACGAGCCCTGCCGCGAGATGGGATAGAAAGATGCCAGGTCGGTTTGAGGGGCTGCTGGCCTGCCATTCAGGTTACCATGCTTGTCTTGAACGAGCATTGATCAGATTCGAAGCGCTCTATAATTCTATATACATGCTCGTGGCATATCCATCGCCACCGCGACTCCTGGTCACGCAGCCACCAGTCTCATAATTGGTAGTTGACCGCGTCTTCGTGGTCCATGTAACCCTTCGAATCCACATACATGGTCGCTACTCTATACGACCTAAACCGTGCAGACGGCCCTATCGTCTAGAATGCACCAACCGGCCCTTGACCCAGACCTTCTTGGTGTTCCGGTCATCCCCGTTGTACAGCCACTTGGCAATGCGCTCCTCCCACGTCTCCCAGCCAAAAATATCCACATTGCCGGCATCCACGTGGCCATCCTCGTCCTCGCCGGCCCTCAGTCCATCATCCTGCACTTGTCCCAGAGCAATCAGCTGCGCGTCCAGCTGCTTGCCCACCTCGAAGCCGCCGACCTTGTCGCCCAGACCTAGACACTGCGCACCGCCCCTGGTGGCAAGATACAGCGCCTCCTCCACGGTCAGCTTTGTCTTTTCCCGCAGCGCCTCATCCCCGATCTGCATCGCCAAATGACGACTGGTGAGGGTAGCCTGCCTTGCGGCTTCTAGTATTGACGGCGAGTAGCCGCCGCTCATATCGGTGCCTAGACCGACTTCAATGCCCTGTTGCAACATCCAGCGGACGCGGGCCTCGCCGCTGGTAAGCGACGAGTTGCTACAGGGGCAGTGGGAGACCTTTGACCCGCGTTGCGAGATGAGACGCGCTTCGTCCTCGGTGATGTGAACTGCGTGAGCGAGTACGGTTCTAGGCGTGAGGAGACCATGGTCGTCGTAGACTTTCGCGTAGGATCCTGACTCGGGGTACGTGTCGGCAACCAGCTGGATTTCGCCCTTGTTCTCGGAAATATGAGTCTGAACGGGCAAGTCGTC